TTTTCCCAAGCACGTCTTTTCTTTTTTTTTTTTTTTTTTTCTTCCCTCTCTGGTTGCTTTGTTTTACTTAGTTGCTAGCAAATCAAAAGTTGGACCTTGAAAGCCAGATTTATACCACTGCTATTTTTGTTCAAGACTTTTTCTACCTCCTGGGTCTGAGAGCGAGCAAGTTACATTTTTCTGCTCTAAGCCTCATTAGGATAGGAGTGCACTGAATGTGCAACTTTCCCATCTGCTAATGTTCTTGCTGGAAACGTTGAGGTTCAAAATACCTTACGGTTGTAGCTCACGCTGTTTAGATGTGTTTGATTGCAGTACTGGGCACTGGTTGTCTAGCAGTTGTTCTCACTGCAGGCTTAAAGCCCAATAGTTCTAACATCTCGAGCAGCTATGTGTTATCTAGGTCTTGCTCAAATTGTTTGAATATTTTAACTTTATTGTTGATTTTTCTTTTCAATGTAATACTTAAGCCTTATCAAAAGTTTGGCTTGACTTCTGCAAAGAAAATGGAGCTTTTAAAATTTGGTGTAGAGTAGCTTATCTTCTGCGGCTCATATGGTTGTGAAAGCCTACATGGCAGACAATGCTTCCAGACGCTGAGTTCACAGTGATAGTGGAGTAATCATTTGAGAGTTTAAATCTGTGCTTATTTAGGAGTTTGCAGTTAGTAATTCCTTAAAGTCGTTAATCATTATTGGGAGAAGCTGTGAGATCTATGAGGGAAACTGTCTCTGCTTCCTTTAGCTGCTGAAGGTGCTTAGATAACCATTTTGCGAGCGAAGAAAACCGCCTTGTGTCTGTTCTCCTAAATGCAACTCCAGAGTGAATTTGGTGACTCCTTTCCTATGTTTTGGATGAAGGCCAGGAGTTAGGAATACAACTGTAATTGTCATGTATCAAATTGGTAGAATAGTGACAAATTCCTAGCATGAGAGAAAAACATTGGTGACTTGCAGAAGATCACTTGCTGTTCTTTGGCTTGCTTGATGAGAATCTGGTAGTATAGGAGTATACAAGCTCTGATCTTTCCCAGATTTCTAGGTTAGTTGATATTAATTTAGATACTACGTTAATGAATAAAATTTGTGAGGCTCTGCTAGATGTTCTTGGTTTAAGGAAAATATTTTTAATTTATGGTGTGGTTCTAGTGTGTTAGGTTTTTTGTGTTGTTTTTTTGTTTTTCCTCCAAAATGCATTTCTGACTATCTGTCTTAATGCTACGTGGTAGTGAAGGGAAAGGAGAGATGAACTTAGTATGCTGTGTTTTTCTGCATTCCTGTAAAGTAGAAAACAAATGAGAAAGATTATATTTTTTTTCCTGCTGGTTTTAGTGGCTTTATTCTGTAAAAATGCTTTTCCCTCTTGATTTTTGATTAATGAAGTTCTACTTCATTCTTTATTTCTTTGAGCTGTAGACTGTGGGAGCTGCCTGAATCTTTGCCAATGACTGTCATGTATCGGTTGCATAGTCCTTACATGACTTTGCCAGCATGTTCAGTATCATCATCTGTCTTCTTATTAACGCTCTATTCCTCCAATTGAAAATACAGCTGTGAATGAGTTGAGGTACAAATGCCAAGAAGTGGCTTAAAGGATACCTCGAAAGAAAAGTATTTTAATGGGATTTTTCTCTATCATGTGGCATCTCTCTGCATCAAGTCACTACCTCTTGTAAGTCATAAAAGCCAATATAGATTACTGTTTTGGTAATATTGTTCTTGACTTTTATTAGGAAATACGATACAATTTCTAAAATAAAGAATATGTCAGAAGATTCAGTAGGGCAGCATTAACTCCATTAGCCAAGTGGATACGTGGTAGTAAATGAAACAACTGTTTATTTAGCAAAGGTTGCAGTCTGGCTTGAAACAGATGACTCCCTGGGAAAAGAAAAAGGGCATATGCAGTTCACAGATGGAAATTTTTCATCTTCCTATTGGAGTCTTTCATAAATTCAGCTTAAAGTAGACAGTTGTTTTTCTACCGTTGAAGGTTGCTATAGTTTCATTAGAAAAAAATTTGTAAGGAGTTATATAGCCCATAAGGCTATAACCAGAGGTTATATGGTTAAGGTACTCAGAGCCTTTTAAAATGTAATATGCTAGAATGACCTCTTTTTTTTTGTTGTTGTTGTTTTATTATACCTATTTTGGAGGTAAGACAAGCAGGCAAAAGACCTTCCTGATGGATGACCCCTACAGCACTATCAGCAAGTGATTGCTTATTTGTTTTTTCTGTGACTGGAGGATGAATAATGTAGTTGCAGTGTCTAATGAAGGAGACCCCTCTGGTGTATTGCTTTCCTCAGGCTGTAAAGCTGGGCCAGATGTCTTTGGGGGCCCCAATCAGGCATTACAGGGGGGGGAAAAAAACCACCTTGAAGTTACAGAGCTGGAAATGACTTCCTTTTGCTGTTAAATCTGAAGCAATAAGTAGTATCCTCATGATTTTAGGTGTCACCAGGGCACGCAGGGGTTTGTGACTGGAGGCAGATTTCCCCCTTCCCTGCTTTGAACTCACAGGTTTGTATTTCAGTTGTGTTGATAGTGCTTGGTGTATCTAGTTCCATCAAATGTGGCTGTTTTCATCAGGTGCGGTATCTGGAAAATGAGCTTGCTGCAGCAGGTTGGTGTCTTTAGATCAGTTTGCACAGCCTAGGAACATCTTTAATGGAAGTGAAATTCCAAGTTTTGCTGCTGATGTTGAGAATTCCTTTATGGTTCTCCTTTATTTTTTTTTTTCTGCTTAGAATATTGCACAATTTTAACCATTTTTAGCTGAAATATTCAGGACAATTTTAACCATTTTTAGCTGAAATATTCTAGGGGAAGGGAAGGAGGAGCATGTTTCATGTTTATTATGTTTTCTTAAAATTTAAGTTATTTCCTGAGAATGAAATAGAAAAAAATCACCCCACCTCACAAGAAAATCTTATACCAACAGTTATCAAAATGTTCTCTATACTTCTTGCTTTGGTCCTGGTTCTCTAGACCAGGTGCTTCAGGTAGAAGGACTCGTATTGTCAAGGAAGTTCTTTTGCTCCCCAGATAAAGAGAGAGCCTAAATGAGTCTACATACTAGAAGTTCTTGAAGAATGATTTTTATTACTTTTTTTTCCCACACATATGGTGGAAATGTCAAACGGGCAGATAGTTCCTCTCCTTGCCCTGTAAAAATATACAGCAGAACTGACATCTGTAAAGACAATGGCTTAACCCTTGCAGCCCGGTGCTAGAAGCATGCCTCACCAATCTGTGTCTGCGTAGAACCCCGGTACACTTGGGATTATCCCTGGTGTTACTTGGATAACCTGCAGAAAGAGGCTGTTAAACTTGTATGCAAAAGAGTAAATGGAGATGAGGAATAGACCGGAACACAGATTTAGGAGGTGAGCCTGCAGTCTGTGGGACAGGGCTACAGAGCCCAGGTGGCCTCAGCTCTACCCTTCTGAACTTGGCTTTACAATTTTACTATTTTTTGCAGTTATTTAAATAGCTTCAAAAAAGAATGCTTTCATCAGTAAGTTCCATCACTGAAGAGGTTAAAGGTGAAAATTCTAAGGAAAGGATGCAACATTAAGTCTTTGTTTGTCCAGTACTTTCATTGTTGCTCAGTAATCTCGAGTGGTTGTGTTTTTTTTTTTTAACTCCGGAAGAAAACCTTTCTTTTGTCATTTTCAGTTGATCCATTGCATATGACTTTTTTTCATTAATTCTTTCTTGTCCCTTGAGTTCTAGCAGAATCGCTTTACATCAACTGAACTTCTGTAACTGTCCATATGTGTTTTCTTAGTCTAAGGTGAATGTGAGGTGTTTGACCTTTTTCATTGCAGGGTAAGTCATTTTACCTGGCCTTTGCTACAGATGGAGAACCTGCGTGAAGACAGTGACCGAGGCTTAGCTCAGTTGCAGCCTCAGTTCCCCAGAGACCAAACTGCGCTGGACAGGATGAAATGTATCCGGGTGGTCTGAGCTATTCTCCACAGGACTTCTGTCTCCTGAGTGTCATACCCATTTCTTTGACAAGCACAAACATTTTGAATAGAATAGCTAAAATTGAATGTTCTGCCTTCCCTCCTGGACTTGCAATTACCACTTAAACACGGAACTAGAGCTGCATATAGCTCATCTTTTTAAAAAGTTTAAATTAATTTTCTGTTTCTGTGGGCAAAGCTATTTGTACTGTGCTTCTAAGTAGCTAGATGCTAAAGGAATTGTACTCAAGTCATCAGTGAAATCATTTATGGATAGTTAGAAAGGATAAAACCAGTGAGCCAAGTTAATTCCTGGATTGTTGATTTCTGATTAGTAGCATAAGGGGAAAATTTTACGCATTTGCTTGTATATAGTTATATTGGCTACAGATGCAAAATGCAATTTGAAAACTTGATAGATATTGTACACTGTGCTTTATGGCTTTTTGGGTGGTCTGTATGGAGTTTACAGACATTAGATGATGCATTTCTCACTTGCTGCCTGGTAGCTGGATTTCTGTTGGATACTTGGGAGAAATTTCCATGCTAGTGCCAGTATTGAATTTGGCACAGGATTTGCATCATTTATAGAAATTGCTATGCTTGGCTGTACTTCTGTTCATATAATCCTAATTATATGCTTTATTATGAAATTGTTGTCAGTTATTAGATTCTTACTCAATTCCAATCTTCCTGGAAATGTAGAAATGTGTTTTATTCCTGACCTAAGAGGACCTCTTGTTCTTATGGGACATGATGAAACTTCATTTCTCATGTTCGTTCGCTTCTGTACACAACTGTACCACAATGTCAGCTGAGATCTGGAGCTCCCTAGAACAAGTGAGTGTGTGGTCCTTAGATTGTCTTGCTCTCTTTTAATACTGTTGCTTTTATTCTTCATGGGCCTTTCAGTCTATTAGGGGCTGAGAACATAAAGCCTTGTTCAGATTCTTCCACAATGCTTTTAGTGGATGCAAAGTAAGTTGTTACATTTACTTGGTTTTGGCTAAAAAAAAAACCACCAAAAAACAAAACAAAAACCAAACCAAAAAAAAATTTCCCTTGGTCAAGTGTTAGATTGGATTAGAAAAAATCCTTTTCCATACAGCCATATAAATTCCTTGTCTGGAGGCTGGTTTATAAGACCTACCAACCTGGTTAGATCTGAAGTGAGTTCTCCAGAACACCACCTGTTGATAGCTCTGCATTGTGCTTCAGTGCAGAGACCTCCTTATGGGGGAGTCGTCATGATGATGTTGGAACAGGTTGTCCGGAGAAGTTGTGAATGCCCCATCCCTGGAAGCGTTCAAGGCCAGGCTGGATGGGGCTTTGAGCAACCTGGTCCAGTAGGAGGTGGGTTGGAAATCGATGATCTTTAAGTTCCCTTCCAACTCTGACTATTCTATGATTTTATGTTGGCAGAGGCCAACATCAAACCACAATTAACACAGCCAGCTGGTCCCAGGTAGTTCTTGTTGAAGATGCTGGAGTATTTCTGCCTTGCTCTCTCTAGCTATTTTGTTCCATTTTCTCTAATAGCCTGGCACTTCTGTATCCCACTGCATGAAAAAGAGGAGAACTGTTTTTCTTTATTGGCTCGTTAACTTGGTTAACTTGGTGAGTAAGGGTATAAACTAGATTGGATTAGAAAAAATCCTTTTCCATACAGCCATATAAATTCCTTGTCTGGAGGCTGGTTTATAAGACCTACCAACCTGGTTAGATCTGAAGTGAGTTCTCCAGAACACCACCTGTTGATAGCTCTGCATTGTGCTTCAGTGCAGAGACCTCCTTATGGGGGAGTCGTCATGATGATGTTGGAACAGGTTGTCCGGAGAAGTTGTGAATGCCCCATCCCTGGAAGCGTTCAAGGCCAGGCTGGATGGGGCTTTGAGCAACCTGGTCCAGTAGGAGGTGGGTTGGAAATCGATGATCTTTAAGTTCCCTTCCAACTCTGACTATTCTATGATTTTATGTTGGCAGAGGCCAACATCAAACCACAATTAACACAGCCAGCTGGTCCCAGGTAGTTCTTGTTGAAGATGCTGGAGTATTTCTGCCTTGCTCTCTCTAGCTATTTTGTTCCATTTTCTCTAATAGCCTGGCACTTCTGTATCCCACTGCATGAAAAAGAGGAGAACTGTTTTTCTTTATTGGCTCGTTAACTTGGTGAGTAAGGGTATAAACTCAGGTGAGGGGAGGTGAAGACAACCTGTATGTTAGGGCACAGAGAGGTTCTGTGAGTGCCAGGGCAGGCTCTTGCAGCCAGTATTTTCAAGGGAGGGAAGGGCAGGAGTGGGATTGCCCCTTTCTGTAACATTGAGCTGTGTCATCAGCTCAGTCCATCTCCCGTCATCACCATACCCTGACCATACTGTATTTTAGATTCAAGTTGTACTTGTCTTTGACTTAGCGGGTCTGTGTCTTATTTTGTTTTAAATTAAATGCATAACTCCAGACAAGGACTGCCTTTTCCTGCAGCTGGGCTGTATGTGTTTGGCCTCTCCAGGTGTTTGGGGTTTTATCTGTCTTTTGTGAATCCAGACTGCTTCCAGGCAGCATGTGGGCTGCACTGTTGTGTCGCAGTGACTTTTGGCCCCTGTGTTCATAGTGATACAGCTGAAAGATATTGAAAGTCTGTAACAAGACTGTTTTTTGCTAAAAAGGAAGCTAACTTTGAATCTGTGATTTAGAGGCTCCTAGTGTCTTCCTTGGGGGAGCAGCATGAGATAGAGATTAATTTCCAAGCCAAAAGTAACGCTGTAACTTCCAGAAGTCCTGGTGAATGTGAGATAGCCCATGGTTTCTCTGCCTGCAGTAGTTTGCATGTTTCACCAGTCAGGGAGAGGAAGGAGCGTAGATGCTTCTGGTTTGATGTTACAGCCTGAAAGGACTATTTACACCCTACTGAAACCCACCTTGATGCAGCCTGAGTGATGTGCTCTGGGCAATCCTGCTTAGCAGGGGAGTTGGACTAGATGATCTCTAGAGGGCTCTTCCAACTCTGACAATTCCGTGAATTCTGTGAAAGTCAAGAACACACCTGTGCTTCTAGTTTGAAGCCAGAAATGTAGTTTTGTTTTGCTATACTTCATACGTTTGTTTTTTTTTGTTTTTTTTTTTTTTGAAAGTGCCTGTTGCAAGATAGTTGACAGGTATAACTTTACAAGATTGCTTTATACCTCTCTTAATAATCATCAGTGGACATCAAAAGTAACCACTTTAAACCCAGGGAAGGTGAAATGCATGTAAAAGAAGATAAATCTTATGAAACATTGCAATGGAGGTATGTCATCTGTGGCACTTAGCATTTAGTGTGTGTGTGTTTTCTGTTGCTTTGGTTGCAAAGCTCATAAAGTGCTGAGTTAATAGAAAGCCCAGGATGATGTTGAAGTTACAAGGTGATGTATCTCTTAGTGCATTTCCTCTTCTTGTGTCTCCTGTTGGGAAGAAGAGAATGTTAGCTCGAATGGGATAAGATTGATGGCAGGTTGGTAGGTGGCTGTAGATGTTTTTTTAAAAATACCAAACCAATGTAAGAATAATAATAAAAAAATTGTATTGCTGTTTGCTCAGTATGGATGCTGGTTTTGGAAGGAGAAAGGGTTAATAAAAGTTGAAGGCATATTTTTTTTCCCAGAATGGCTACCTTCCTTTGCATGATCCTACATGCGGAGGAGGTAAGGTTGGACAGGAAATAATTTCTTGTAGGAGGAATAAACTGGGAAGTTATGAAGAAAGCAGCACGTTGGGGAAACACAACTGTCAGTATGTGGAAGGTGGAGGAGAAATGCACAGGTGCATTTCGAACATTAAGTACAGTGGGGATGGTGGGTGGCAGGTGGGTGCTGGCAGAGAATGGATGGTATGTGCCAGTATCAAGTGCACATGTGTTCTGCAACTTCTGTTACCTAAGATATGTCAAACATAATTCTTCCCTTGGCTCAGGAATTAAATCTTAATGGGATTGAAATCGATGGCACAGTTTACACTGACCTATCTGCTGCAATTGTTTGTCTTAGGTACATGTTTAGGCTTTCCTGTTCTGCCGGTAAAAGCTTGTGATCTTGTTGAGTAAACTACTGCAGCAGAAATTCGTACAGTGTTTCATAAAGAAAGCAAACTTCTTTGTTTCCACTGAGCTCTTTCTAAAAGACTATGAGATATTCCCCTCCCCGACCTCTTGTTTCTTTTAATACATCCTAATGATCCTCCAGATCATTAAGCTCTGAAGGGATTATCTTCTCTGTTTGTATTGGCTTTTTTTAATTGTTTGGTAGTGAGACCCAGTGCTTCTCAGTATGATGGGGCCCCTAAGCTTAACGCAACGTAAGGACGTTACACCTTTCAGCTTCTCTTGTGTATCGCATGTGAATTCTAATAGTTTTAAATTTTGTATCAAGTATTTGATTTATGAGATCAAAATGTATTCAAAGATGCTGATTGCAAAGCTTACCTTATACAGGAGTTACAGACGTTCTGAGTGACACCTTTGTTTCTGTAGCTGTTCCCTGTTTGTGGCGTAAACTGTGAGTTTGCAGTTTCCTATTGAACGTTTCATCACCTGAACTTGAAGCATTTTTGCCACCGTGAGTGACTTTCTCTTGAAGACAGACTGTTTGATTTATGGAGATATGGGTTGGAATAAACAAGAACTCAAGAAAAATTTCAAAGCTCTACCACATCAGGACCTGGGACAGGTGTTTGTCATACAGATTGCTGGCAAAATGATTTCTAGTGCAAGCAGGAAAGCTTTGTGTATCACTGCATGTGTGATTTCAGTAGTCCTTTGGTTTTATGACTACAGGTATCTTGGTTAATTCTAATGATATCTAAATTAGTCTCTTGCTTTTGTATTTCCTGGAAACTCAGAAATGTTAATTTGGGAAAACTTGAAGTAACAATCTGTGATAACTGCTGCTAGTGACTGGAAATTACAATATTGCTATTTTTTATTTAGAAATAATTATTGCCCTTCCATAAGGACTTGCTGATTTTGATTTTGGTGCCTTTCGCAAAAGAGACACTTGCAGTTTTTATGATACTGTTTCCCTTGCTTTTGTTTTCCAGAATATGACAAATTGGGCTTTCTCCTGAACCTGGACTCAAAATTGTAAGTAGAACAGTAGGACTCTTCTTTGTTTTTGTAGTTACACGTTTCTGTTGTAAGCACCTTTTATGTCAGCTGGGCAGTTGGCACACTGGACTGTACACGTCTACCTGGGATAGCCAAGTCCTGCAGCAACCTGGCAATTACGACTTCTTTCCTTGCACTAGGCTTTGCTGGCTGGCTTGGATTGTGATCCACTGTCATTAATTCCTTAATGACTGATCAAGAGGCTATAAATGTCTACCTGAAGCCATGACTGTCAGTCTGCTCTAGATATCCTACTGTTAATCTTCCACATGAGGAAAAATGCGTTAAACATTTGAAAGCAAGAGCAGTATTCATCTGCAATTTACTGGAATTCTTAGAAGTCTGTATTTCCTTTCCCCTTTTTTCTTTAAAAATGGATGCTGGTATTTTTCTTTGTAAACTGGAGTGGAAAGAAACTCAATACAAGGCAGTGACCCATTGCTATGTAAGAAGAACAACAAAGTACTCAAGGATGATACTCATCATGCTTTTTACCATAAATCAGTCAAATTGAGTCTGAACTTCTTAACACTAGGGGTCACTAGCGACTCTGTTTCTGAGGTCAACAGCCTTGTGGAAATTTTGGTATTGGGAGCAAAATAACCTACCAAAAACCTTCTGCCTCTACTACTTAAAAAGGCGCTGAAGCAATCTAGGGGCTTTGAATGACTTGAGGATGCATGGCCTCTACAATGTATGATATTAATAGAAAAACCATCCTTAATGTTTTGAAAGTCTTGTTGTACTTATAGGTTGTAACATTAAAGTTTTGAGTTCAGTCTTGCTGAGCAGCTTGAAAGCTTCCATAATGAAATAAAAGCCTTATAAGTGTGCTGGGAACTGCTATTCAGAGGAAATGAAAAAGTCTCTGGGTATAGGAGCTTCTTTTACAAAAGCAGCTGGGTACATAAACTCAACTATAGTAACTTATCTGGCAAAAAAGTGCTGTAGAAGAATGCATATGAGAGAGAAGGAATATGGATTTATTTTTTTTAATTATTTTTTCTAAAAGGTCTATATTTCATTCATGTGCAGGAAGGATGGTGTTTACTGCATGAATAGCTGCTCAAGGTTTCTTTCTGGTCTCATTTAATGTAACATTCTGGCTTTTGTTGCAAGATGCCTAGACCCCATGCTGGTTGCACAGTTACCAATTTTCTTTATTTAATTTTCTGTATTGGGACATCTTTGTGACTTAGAGACAATAGTGTGTGTACCCGTACAACACTCTGGGATGAGATGTGTATTGTCTTCCATTTATACATGTAGAAGTCAAAGCAAAGAGATTAGTCCAAAAATATGAAGTGGGTTAAGTAACCTTTGAGTGAACATCTTGGTGTTGGTAAGGGAAAAAAAGGTTTTTAAGTAGTCTGAATGTCTGTGGGGGTTTTGTCCCTTGACTACTTTGCATGTTTTGTATTGTCGAATTTATTGAACGTGCCCATTGACTGTCCACACACTTTTAGCACACTAGCTTTGGATACCAGCCTCTGCTCTGTCCAAACCACCCACCCAAACCATTGCTTCTTCTGTGCTCACTTTGCTGCTTTTAGCAAGTCCCATTGAGTCTTCCTTCCCCTCAAGCATCCTTTTTTGCTCTTCTTTGCTGACTTAACTACTTCAGTCAGAGCTCTCTGAAACATAGACTGCTACTTTTTCTACTTTAGTATGAGGCTAATTGAAGTTTTTACTGGCTGGAGGGCTTCAAAAACCCTGAAATTAAAACCTTCCCATGTTAAAGACTTTTCATTATTTTTGATTAAAGGAAGATTTTGTTGACTACTTAGAAAAAAAGAAAAAGATATTTATATAGCACCCTAAATATGCATGTTTGCTTTTCAAAGACATAAAGTTAGCTTCTGGAAAGGCTTGTAATAAAAGCAACATGATTAAAAAAAATACTATCAGTTAAGGAGCAAAGAAAGCAATAGGTGAAGTCACTCTTTTTTTTTTTTTACTGTAATTGTCCATTGTTGGTTTTAGGTTGGGTTTTTTCCATTGCTGTTTGTTTATTTCTTTCTTCTGTGGAAGTAAAGCTGGCCCTGCCTTGAGAATGGACCTGATGACCTGTGGAGTTCCCTTCCAGCCTCAATTATTCTATTTATTTATTTTTTTCAGTAGCAAGGGATCCAGGAAAAAAAGCTGAAAAAACCATACTAAATAAATTTTGAAAGAAAACGAGTGACAGCTTAGAGGAAGTTGCTGCTGTTCCACAAGTTGACCATGTGTGGTCAGGGTACCAAACAACTTTTCTTAGTACACACTGTATTTGGTGGAACTTAGTGGTTAAAAATGCTTTCTGCAACTCGATCAAAATCATACCATCTTAAAAGCACTTTCTGGTTAAAAAAAAATTGCTTAAAAGTTGAAAGGGGTAATGTGTTCTGCACTGATGACTTTATTGGCAGAAATAATTTAATTACATCTGTTGTGATATAATCGTCTAGTGGAATTTTGCCATAGATCATAACTTTATAGGGTTCACTTAATTGACAGCATGTGAGTCTTGGGTGACGTGGAGCACTTGGGGCAACTAGTAGTTTTCTCTTTTTTTTTTTTCTTTAATCTTTTATTTATTCAAAATCTGTTTCTGGCTGTGTTAGTTGATGTCGTTTAAACTAATGGCCTGGAGGAATAACGTTTTTTACAAAGGTAGGTCTGCATTAAAACTTAAGTGCTCTGACTTAATTTTCAAATGACATTACAGAGGAAAGTGACATGAATAAATAGTAATGTGTCAATTTGCCTTTGCATCTCTAATTTTTTCATGTCTTACTACTTTAGTGTCCTCTATCCTGTAAGTGTCCTGGGCATGTTATTCAGGTATAATACACTCTGTTGTGGTTATAGCAATGTAATGATTCTGTTCACTGGTTCTCTTTGAGTTCATGGAAATGGTAACGAAGCCAGATTTGTTCACTTTAGAAAGAAAATCTGTCAGAAGTACTTGAGAAGTGTCCACTGTGGGAACTGTATGTCTGATGTGTGCCTTGCTATAGCATTAGGGAGGCTGGTGTGGTCAGGAATCCCACCTGGAAGGGGATGGCACATTTCAAAGTTACTGTACGGATGCTTCATGGAAATGAATGGTTCTGATCAGAAGTCCTGTTGCCTGTCAGAAAGGAGAACATCAAGAAAGAAGATGCTTCCTTTCTGCTGCCTGTGCATAGGCTAACTCTTCTTCAGAAAGTCTTTAAGCTTTTAAAAAGCAGGATCGCATCCAGGTGGGGATTGTTAATGAAATCCAGGATGAATGGAAAGCTGAGGACATCTGTAGGCAACATCATTTGTGAATTAGTTGTTTCCCTAGCCAAAACAAGACCTAAGGCTCCTCAGGACCAGATTAGTGAAAAAGATCTGTTGCAAGAAGAGTTTCTTATAGTTATGCTTGTACCAACCATAACATGATGACCAAAATTAGAGTATCAAAACAAAATATACACAAACTACAGAAGCAGGCCAGCTGTATCAGTTTCTCCCAGGTAAAGAGGTTTACCAAGCAGCAGAGTCACATGCCATTTTAAAACCTTTAAGAATAAAATCCAACCTTTATTGGGTTTCAGAGAAAAGTACTTGTACAAAAAATATGATACAATTCACAGGTCTTGATTCTTGGAGGGGGCAATAGTTCCTGAACAATTTAAGGCCATCAATCACATTAGTGACTCAGCCAATGGATTACTAGGTGCCACAAAATGCCAAGATTTGCAATTGCTTTCTAACATCTCTGCTTGGCAAAGGGTTGCATACTTTTATTATTATTAAATATTTATATTGTAGTAGTTCTTTGAGGCTGGCCAGGTCCTAGAAACAAGAGCTTCATTCACTACAAATTCTGAATCATTCTCTGAGTAGAATCTATGTTTGCATTGAATTACAGGAGATTTCTGTAAAAGGATCAGCATGTGATCATGTAGTTAATTATAGACTGTATCTTAATGCATATTTAGTGGGCCCAGCTGAAGATTGCATGGTCATTTTTTATTCTGTCACTTACTACTCTGTGAATGCTTGGTTTAGTCACCTTAACGATTACTTTGAGTATGCCTTGGCATATAACAAGTGTAGATTCACTTGTCTTGTGCATGAGAAAAACTCCTTTTTGTAATAATCCGTGTGACTTGGGGGCTTTTCCCTTGAGTTGTTGTCCTTGTGCTTCTATATCAGCTTTCCTTACTCTGATGGCATGCTGTTTACTCAGTGAGATGGAAGCCAGTGACTGCTACTTCTGTCCTCATTTCAAACTCATCCTTCAAAAGCTATTTTCAAAGGTACTTTAGCAGTTAGGTTGGCGATTTGGTGTTAACTTGAGAGACAAAGTTAATTTTTTTTAAAGACAGAAACTGGCAAAAAAAAAATTGCTACCCCTCTCAATTAGAAAAATGACTGTGAGATCAGTATGGTTGACCACAATGACATAATACTAAAATAGGTAATACATTGTATTTATAATATATGGTATATATTTTATATTGTGTGCTTTGGGAAGTTTTAAGCAGTACTTTATTAAAAGTAGGAATATTTTTCCAGTGGGCTCTGTGCTTTGCTAGACATTCTGTGACACTGTGTATTTGCATGTTTTTCCAATATTATAGAGTAGATTTGGGAGGTGCAGCAAAGATTTTTTAAATTTTTTTAAAATATTCATGATAATGTCAAACTTTGCTTTAAAAAGAAGAGACAAAAGAAATGGAGTCTTTGGTGGAGGGGGGCAGGGAGGGAAGGGCCAGAAATAACAACCTTCACCCTGCAAACTCAAAAGAAACTTGATCTACACTTTGAAAAGACCGTAAAAATGGAGGGAGTTTGGGCTAGGGAAACACACAGATTGGGTTACTTCTGTTTGTTGAAATTTCTTTACTTCAGAGCTTTAATAATGAAGAACTGAAACGGAGCCCCTTCCCCTCATTTTGTTTCTAGGGTGGGAGGTTGCTTTGAAACTGTTTGTGTCTATGTGTGGTACTTTGCCATTAAGC